CTCAGAGTAGCCACTGTCTAAGCCTTTAGGCCTATGCAGAATGTGGCCCTATAGGCTACTAAAGAATAGGCCTAATTGTTATTTAATACATTACTTTATACAATACAAATTGCAGTACAGACATTGGAAGGTTAATATATTTAATTTAATTAAATATTTAACATTCTGTTCCTCTTCTCTTTTTGTATAAGATAGCCGGCAATTTTGTGAAACATTAAAAAGTAATAAATCTTAACTTCAGCAGTTAAGTTGTAATAGAAATTGTAATTTTAATTTATTAGACCCATTTTCTCTTTCAGTAAGATAATTTGTTCATGGGATTATGTTGGAAAATCCACAGACTAAAAGTACAGTATTGTAGTACTAGTAGTATAGGCCATTGAATTGTTTTCATTTTTTTCTGTGATTACGGCTTAATTCCTACCGCTTAAATAAGACTAAGAGGCCTATGTATTATTTCACTCTGTAAATTACACAGGGACAACTTATTTTTTCTTACATTGGTTGTACCATGGAGTTGCTGTGTTTTGCTATGTGATCATGGTGTGATAATAGACAGGGCCTACTCTATGTAGAGGACGAACTATAAACTGAAAGACAACTATCGCTGACAACTATTATGCATGACGTCAACATACGAAGCCGCGCCCCTCGGCTGAACCCGTTGTATTTAGCAACTACCTAAACTTCATGGCTTTATGTTCTTAAATTTATTTCCGATATTTTTTATAATCGAACAGCTCATACATTAAGGTGTTATTTTTCTACTGCAGAGCACTTACATAAGACAAGATTTAGTAATAACTTTAATTTAGATATACCCACGTCACGTATTACATTAGGAAAATTTAGAATAGGTTATGAAGGTGCTATACGTTGGAATCAACTCTCTCTCTCAATATTCGCCAAATTAACTCAAGAAAACATTTTAACACAGTGCTTAAAAACCATTTACTCGAAGAGCATATTGTTTAAACTTAAGACTGAGGCTCATCATGTTTACGACTATTTGTATTTTTTGTTGTAATAGTAATGGTGGTGGTAATGATGGTAATAATTTTATAGTGATGATGTTATAGACAGCGATATAGATAATAATAATAATAATAATATTATATCTCGACTTCGACTTTATTCGGAAATCTGTGGCGCGTTCAAGGGGAGGGAGGGAGAGGCTAATTCAATTTTTTTTTAAATGGAGATATAAGGAAAATTATATTAAAATTTTAAGTTTAAGGGTGTAATATCCGGCCATCTAGAGGTGCCATAATTACAAATTTTCTTACCTCAGCCCCAACGTAGTTGGGGCTGAGGTGGTATAGATGCTCCATCTGCTAAAGTACCCAGTGGCGGATTCAAGGGGACCCAGCCGGCCCGCCTCCCACCCTCCTAAATTGTTCAATAAAAAAATGGAGATATAAAGATAATTATATTCAAATTTTATGTCTGGAAGTGCAATTTCCGGCCATCTAGAGGTGCCAGTAATCACAAATTTTCTTACAGCCCCACCCATGGTGGGGCTGAGGTAGTATGGATCTTCTATCTGTGAAAATACCCTCCCTTGCACCTTCTATTTCGAATTCCTGGATTCGCCACTGGAAATTACAACAAATATGAAATCATATTACAGTAGCTTGATGCCTATAAAATAATTTATAAAATTCACCAAATTTCGTAATATCCGTAGCTTCCAGGGGGCGGGGCCCTTGGCGGCCCCCTGGCCCCCAGCCTAATGCTCGCTTCGCTCGCATACTCGACCTTACGAAATGCCCCCCCCCACCACTTTCAAAAACGTTCCGCCGTTGATATTAAATCGTCTAAATTGTAATGAAGTTAGCATAGAAGATACTTTTTATAACAACGTATATATTTGAATGAATCATAGATTCTTGAGACTAAGTTTGATTTGATTCAAATTTCTATTCAAACTAAAAAGATGAAGAATTTTGAGAGCTAGCCTTGTAGAGAACCTAGGTCAATCGCTCACAGGACATGCCACATCCAGCGCTGACTCTAAGGCGATCGCCATTGATTTAGAGGTACATATTCAGCTTAAAAACTGCCCGAAATCAGGACGGCCTCCCACAAACAACCAAGAATCTCCGAAAATTCATAAATTGTGTTAAGGAAGTTCATTAATCAGGTCAGTAGTGAATTCAAGGGAAGGGACAGCTGACCCGGGACGGGTCTCTTAATTATTTCAAAATGATTAAAAGAAAAATGGGATAGAAAAAAAATTAAATTTAAGTCAGCGAGGGCCATTTCCGGCCATCTAAAAGTGCCATAATCATAAAATGTCTTACCTCACCTCCAACCATGGTGCGGCTGAGGTGGTGTAGATTTCGGTGAAAGTCTCTCCCTGCCCCCTCACCCACACTTCGACCCACCACCGCAATTATCCCGGAAATTGCTTCTTCTAACTTGGGACCCCACTGCTCACCGAGCCAATTTATTGCAATATCTGTATGAAATATTTAAACTATTAGACAAACTTAAATTGATGAATTGTAGGATAAGATGTTTCTTCTGACTACAGTGGCCAATGAATCAGAAAAACTTTGTATTTTGTATGACTTTCTATAATCCTGGGCTAGGCCAGTGTTCGCGCGACGAGGCTATGCAAATATGTTCAAGTTTTCCATCTGTTTATTTCACTCCATTTAAAATCTAACGGGTCAAAAGTCTAACGTTTATTAAAGAAATATTTGCCATGGCTTTTCGATAAGTCATTTTACGATAAAAATGTACAAATAAATAAGTTTGAGGAGTTTAAAAACTGTCGAAATTTACTCGAGCGGAAGCTTATTATTGTGTGAAAAAATGCCACCTAGCGGTTAGTGTTGATGTTATACCCACTATAACATACAAGCCATGCCCTCTCGGCTGAACCCGTTGTATTTAGCAAATACCATGGCTGTTCATGTCGGTTCTGCGTGAATGTCACGTAAATAAATTCCTTCTATAGTTCAATCGTGTCCGTCGTTAATTTTCGGTGTGGTGTATTTTCCTAATTAATGGCGGTATTCAAATTATAAATATGTATCTCGATGATTTTTTTTTCTCTTTAAACGGTGAATAAATTTGAACTTGAGATTGAAGTTAAGTGGCCCTATTTATTGTTTTAGAATTTACAGCATTTATTTTGGAAAGAGCCCCCCCCCCCCCATTTTCTACTTTGCTTCTACTTTGCAAAAGTAGCCTCGAAAAGAAGAACATCCAAAGTTGGCAAAAAAAAAAAAACCAACAAACAAAAAACAAAAAACAGAAGCCCAGGGTTTCAACTCGAGGTTTTACGGTATTCCCATGAGTTTTATCATATACCTGGGTGTTCGGTTTGCACCATCGGGACTTGGATACCCATGGATTATCACTCTAGGGCCCTGGTTCAATCTATTTAAGCTGGGGGCCAGTTTCAATCCATTGAGACCACCGGCGGGCCGACATAAATTCCACTTACAATTGTTTTTAAATGTCAGCCCCACTCACTTTACAGACATACAAGTCTTCCTAATAGGCCTATTATTAGCCTTGGTTTTTCGACATCATCTAAGATAAGCCTTGTTTTGTCAAAATGAGGGAACGCAGTTGGCATAGGGAAGGGTGGAGGATACAACAAATCTCCTACCCTTCTACCAATAGAAATTAAAAAAAAAATCCCTCATGTACTAAGTAGGCCTAGTTAAAAAAAATGCCAGGGCCAGAAAGTTGCTGACGAGGAGTCAGATTCCCTTTCCCTTGATTTTCTCAGCTGATGGTCGGAGCTGAGGTGAGCAAATTTTTTAAATAAACACCTCTGATTCCCGGAAATGGCACATTTAGACTGTAAAGACACATTATCAAAGCAGTGTTCTCAACAGAACATGCCCAAATGCCTACTCCACGGATCCGCCGGTGGCGTCGCTGCTAATGGTTAGACATACATCATCAGTGATCCCCACTTAATCATTAATTTTATCCATCATATCCATCCATCAGTCTCCCTCTCCCCCATTGCCATTAGGACAGGAATTACCAATCCGTCTCCTCTCCCTATGGCAAGACACTAGATAGATATAGTGAGCTACACTAAGAAACACTAATAATGCCAAAGTAGTCATGTTTTTATTAACATAAAATCTTTTGTCGGGGAACAAACAAATAAAAAAAAATATTTACATGTAATATTCGTTTAGCCACCATACTGTTTGTGTTAATTTTTCATCACAACAACAACAACACTAACAACAATAATAATAATAATAATAATAATAATAATAATAATAATAATAATAGTTAATTGAGACTAATTAAAGCTAATTTGCGTTCTGTTATGACAAATGCTCATTTAGATAGCCTCATGATGGTTGGAATACATCGTGATAGGTGAAGCAACCTCGACCATGACAGCGTGGTTGACAGATTTCATG